AAGCCATGTTTGTAGTAATTGACATTGAACTGATTTTGTATGTTAATGATAGTTTGTATGTAAACAAAAATATTAGTAGTAAAATGATAGTGTAGTTATAACTAATTTAATTTATTTAAGTTATTTGTTTTCATATTGGCATCACCGAGTATCATAAGATAATTGAACTAGATAGTTAATAATCAAAGTATATGGTCATTAACTAAAAATAATAATAATTAATTACCGAGTAACGGGTCATGACTAAATAAATTTATATAAGTTAATAGAAAAAAATTGAGAAAATCAAGTGTCATGGTTCTAATCATTTCAATACAAAGGATTTAAATAAAATAATAAAATATAAAAAAATTAATAGTGCATTTTGAACCAAAACATAGGACCTAATCGTCATTATTAGATTTTCGAAGCGTGATTTATATCTAGGAGTATCATAAATAAGTCACGGTGCCTTATTAGTTTGTATTCATTGTATTTCGAATGTAGGTTAATGATGGTAATATTCACAACCTAATAGATCCTAGGTCGGGGGTGTTACGAAGTCGATAACCCGACCCGAATTACAATGTGGCCAAATCTCTTATTTCCAACCAAACCAACTACCGCCACCACCAAAAAACATTTCTCACCTTCTTAGAATCCAATCTCCCTTGAAAGGCCAACGAAGACTCACCGAAATGACCCGGTCGATGAAAAACTTGAATCATGACTCGTTTTGAAGACTCATTCCAATCGGTCGATACAAGCCAAATTGGACCTCCAAACCACTAGAGAACCACTCCCTAGAGTCTTCCGAGTCGATTAGTATCCTTTTCTTTCCTCATCGTGATCGAAATCGTGATCCGAAAAGAAAGAGAGAGAGGCGGTCGTTGATTGACCTTTGATCTCTCCCTATAGTTATTGCGACCGACATGGTCCACACAAAACGAACGAGCATGTCTAGCCGCCCCTTACGACCAAGCAATGCACCCGATGGAGGCTAGACTATGACTCGAGCTAATGACATTAGCTAAAGGGTTTCAAGGTCAATTCAATAAATAGTCTCCGGCACATACTCGTACACACGTCATAGGTATTTTAGTCATTACACGCACCGGGGTTATTTTCCAATAACACTCTAAGGGTAAAATTGATATTTACTAAGGCGTAATTCGATCATTTAGGATTGTTTGGAGTATTTCTTTTAATATTTTTTGTATTTTTTTTAGCGTCTTTGAATTAAATATGTGAATTGTGATTGGGTTCAAGTGCATTTAGATATGTCATTACGTATTGAACTTGAAAACGTTCGAGATCCCGGGATATTAAGATGAAATAAGGTTAGTTCAATGCTTTGCGATGGAATTGGAATGATCGATTCATGTTTTATTTCATGGATTATCCAAGATAAGTGTCGATCCTCGTGTGTTGCAAATAAAATAGCTGATTTAAATTGTTTGAGTTATGATTGCTTAAAATATTTGATGTAAATGGTGAGTTAGATTAGGTCTTTTTTTTTGGCATTTTGTAAAAATATTTTTAGTTAATTAGGTCGTTTCTCAACATGTCAATCGTGTTAGGACTTTCATTGAATCCGCTATTAAATTGACGAGCTCCTAAACTTGGGGTCTAACATTAATTTAATGAGATTCTATGATAAAAATAAAATAAAACTAATTCTTTGAATTTAGACAAATAAACTTGAAAATGTATTTAGAAATAAAAAGTAATAATTTAAGAGATTTTTCATTGGCATTTTAATTTGAATGTCTTTAGTTAATTAGGTCATTTCTCTACATGTCGGTAATGTCGAAGCAACTGGATCCGATGCTAAATTGACACGACTAATATTAGGATCTAACATCAATTTAATACGATGTTACAAATAAAAAATAAAAAAATTAATTTAACATAGATGATAAATAAACTTAAAAATAGAATTAGGAAAATAATTAGACAAAAACATAATTTTTAGATGATAAATAAACTTAAAAAATAGACTTAGGAAAATAATTAGATAAAAACATAATTTTTAGGAGATATTCGTAGGATTAGACTAAACTCGGTATCTTTCTTCGAAAATAGCATTTTTGGATAATTGTTACTTCCTAGAAGCATAATCAACTCCTTAATCAAAATCTTTGAATCCGAGTGCGTTTTTTAGGTTTTCGATTTACCTTTAATACTATGTAGCAATTCCAATTTTTTTTTTTAAATTGATTGTTTCTTAAATTTTTTGGAAGTTCTTTAAATATCGAATAGTGACAATACTCACTAACAAATCAATTAAATTTACCTAAAGTTCACAACTAAAAAAAGAAAATGAAAAATCACAGTTCAAACAAATTATTATTTAATTATTTGTTACACTAGAAAACTTTGAAAAGCGTATATGTTTATATATATAGTTTATAAATCATAGTTTAATGTAGTTATATATTATATATAAAAAAAGAAATCTTTAATAAAAATAGTCCACAAAAACTACGCAAACCAAGCATAAATATTATAATCATCCCCCAAAAAATAAAAAAATAATAATAAAGAGAGAATAAAATTTTCACAAATAAATCAAAATCAAATAAATACAACCAAATTTGAAATCTATTAAAAATCCAGAGGTAATCAATAAATGATTGAGCATAACAAGAGATTACAATTGCATTATAAGGAGAAAAAATGACATCAAATCAAATAAAGAAGAAAATAACAACTTCTATTTTTTTGAAAAAAATAGCAATTGAAAATGTTGTTTGTTTGGAGATTAACTTGATTAATACTTGATAGTTTAGGAACTAATTTGGTATTTTTCAACAAAAGTTCTGATAAAGCTGGTCTTTTTGAATTGTTTTTTTGTTACGTTTCTTTAGAAAATATTTGTGACTCACATGTTGCATAAAATTACTTTCGGTACATCAAATGAAAGTACTTAAAATCCATTATTATAAAAGACCAAAAAAAAAAAAAAACTCATAAAAATCATTTGCTAACCAGCCAATGCAAACAACTACCCTTGCGGAAGAATCCGGAGCTAATAAAAATAAACAAACCAATCAAACATTAAAATAATCATCAGTACCTCTCAACCTATAAATCAACATCAAGTAACCAACGCACCAAATATAGACAAGAAGACTTGAATTGTCTTTATTTATTTATTTCTTTCTCTTAGAACTTTCAAAAGTTCAAAAGTAAAATATAGATTTTACTAATCGTTGATTTGTTAATTAATCAAACGCCCCATGAAGCAAACTTATCTCTTACGAAACACAATCTTCTAACTCCTTTCCTTCCTTCCCACTTCACGCAAACTCTCAGAAGCCAAATTTGTAATTACAAAAAACCCCGGACCCAATCTCGTAATCTCATTCAAAACTTTTCCGTTAATGGTTGTTTTTTATTCTATCATTTTCTTTATTTAGATTCCAGATTCCTCTTTGCACCAAAAAAAAAAAAAACTTTTTTTCTCTTTTCTTTTTCCCAATTATATAAGTGATACCTTATGTCAATTTATTTATATTTAGACTATATTGTTTTTTTATTTTGTGAAAATGGGTCTATATTTAACTTATTGATGTTGGTTGAATGCTAAATGAAGGTCATTTAAAAAATAATAAAAAAATATGTTTTTTAATATGCAAAAATTAATTTGAAAATATTTTAACAAATTATACATTTCAACTCTTTTGCTTTTCTTTTTTAAAAATAGAGATATAGCTAATTTATTTTATGCTTTTCCATTAAAAAAAAAAACATTGCACTATATCACATCTTGCCATTTTTATTTTTAGTTTTTTGTCATAAACTAATGAGTTGAATTAAAAAAAAAAAAATTAAACCAGAAAGTTAATTAAATGGATCAAACTTTGCATAAACTTTCACTCATTTGACTTGAGTTTATGAACTTCAAATTTAGTTTTGAAAATTCCTAAATTTTTAATTTTTTTATAATTTAGCAAATCCATTGAATTTCAGCTATCGTTAGTCCCTTTAAAAATTTCAATAAAATACTAAAATTTACCCATATATTGAAAAAAATCCAATCCATTTTCTATAAAAATAAAAAATTTCAAAATAAAAAAAAATATTTTTTATTTTTTGAACATTTAAAAAAAAAAGAAAATAACTTGAAAATGATTTCAATTTTTTTAAAGAATCTCATATAAATTTAACTGAATAATTTTTATTATAAAACTATTTAGGTGATTGTTATTGTTTAAAATAAATGATAAAAAAATAAGTTAAATCTAAAAAAAAAATTAAAAGTTTAGAGATCCTAAAAATTAAATTTAAAAAATTTAAAAATTTAATTTCAAATGAGTTAAAATTTAAATAATGTTTGACCCATTTAGCCAATACACAATAATATGTTTCTGTTAACTATCTCTAAATTAATTTACACATGTAGATGCTAGATTCTTTTTATTGAATATTGAGAATCATTTTTCATATACAAGAATCATAAAAACCATATATATATATATAATAAAGCAAATAAATAGCAAGTAATTTATGTCTTGTAGCTCAAAATTACGTCTACTTCTATTTCATTCAACATCTGAATCAATTTTTTAGACACCAAAATTAAGCATACACCTTCAACCCAATAAAAAGTAGTTACATATCGAAATTTTTGTTTTCTCCCTCGATTCAATTACTATAAAAACATACATCAATCAGAGGTCTAAGGCTGAAAAATTGGAACATGCGAGGTTGTAGAAAACATGGTCTCTCTGGATTGATGAGGTAAATGTCCGAAATGCCCTGACAGTCCGGAAAAATGAAAAAGAAGTTAGCGAAATTTACTTTTAGAACCAATGACGGGGTCCGAGGCCCAGATAGGAGAAAGGAGCTAGCACGCAGCAGGATGCTCGTACCAGACGAATAGAACCAACTCCCACCATAACAAGTATCAGAATTTCTCTCTTCTTCAACCGACACCTTTCTCTCCGAAGAATAAAACACTGATCAAAATCAAATTCCACCAGATCTGAGAATCGAATTCCCTCTTTCTCAGATCCATGGCTTCTCGCTTCCTCTTCTTCTCCCTCTTCACTTATCTTCTACTCTCCATCTCCCTAGCTGAGATCCATTTCTCCGAGATCCGATCCGACGACCGTCAATTTATCCCTTTCGACGAATTCGGGTTCACCCACTTTGGCCGACTCGAACTCAACGTCACAAACATCCACCTCTCAGACCCTAACCCCGACCTCGATCGATCCAAAATCGGATTCTTCCTCTGCACTCACGATTCCTGGCTTCACGTGATTAACCAACTTGAGGATGGTGAAATCACGTGCGCTCTCCAATCCGATCTTATCAAGCCCGTTTTCACTTTCAACGACCTCAAAAAGGACCAAACTAGCCTCTCCAAAATGATTTCTCAAAACGACGCCGATCAGTACACGCTCGTCTTTGCTAATTGCTTGACGTCGTCGAAAGTCTCCATGGACGTCAAGTCGGCGATGTATAATCTCGACAAAGGCGGTAAAGTTCGCGACTATTTGTCGGCAGGCAAAACTATTTTGCCGCGGGTTTATTACTTATTGTCGCTGATTTATTTCGGTTTAGCTGGTGTTTGGATTTATGTTTTATACAAGAAACGACTTACCGTTTATCGAATTCATTTCTTCATGCTTGCTGTAGTAATTTTAAAGACAATGAATTTGTTGTGCGAAGCTGAGGATAAGAGCTATATTAAGAGAACAGGTTATGCACATGGATGGGATGTTTTGTTTTACATTTTTAGTTTTTTGAAGGGAATTACGTTGTTTACTTTAATTGTTTTGATTGGTACTGGGTGGTCGTTTTTGAAACCGTATTTGCAAGATAAAGAAAAGAAGGTTTTGATGATTGTGATTCCGTTACAAGTTGTTGCGAATATTGCCCAAGTTGTGATTGACGAGACTGGGCCGTATGGGCAGGATTGGATTACATGGAAACAAGTGTTTTTGTTGGTTGATGTTGTTTGTTGTTGTGCGGTTTTGTTTCCTATTGTTTGGTCAATTAAGAATTTGAGGGAAGCTGCAAGGTCGGATGGGAAGGCAGCAGTGAATTTGATGAAGTTGACTTTGTTTAGGCAGTATTATATTGTGGTGATCTGCTATATTTACTTTACTAGGGTCGTGGTTTATGCGTTGGAGACGATTACTTCTTACAAGTATCTGTGGACGAGCGTTGTGGCTGGAGAATTGGTTACTTTGGCTTTTTATGTTTTTACTGGGTATAAGTTTAAGCCAGAAGCACATAATCCATATTTTGTTGTGGATGATGAAGAGGAAGAGGCGGCAGTTGAGGCTTTGAAGCTAGAAGACGAGTTCGAGTTGTAATTTGGAGATTGAAGAAGATGGCATGTCAAGAAATTGCTGAGATTTTGAGGTAGATGCTTCTTGATCATTGCTACAGTTACTTTGCGCACATGGGATGGTTTACTATGTGGTTTTCTTAATTTCTTGTGAATGTACTTTATTTTTGTTATTGGGTTAGTAGGTTAGTTTCTTAAATTTCATGCATCTCCGTGAAAGTGGATATCCAACAGTATGTACAAGCTCTTAAAGTAAATTAGCCATTGCTTTGACAAATGTGTTTGTGTTTAGTTCCTTTGTGTTTCTTGTGTTAATTAACATACAAGTGCTTAGTGAATAACATGGCGGAATTGGAATTAAATTAGGAGACTGATTTGTCTTACATGATAGTATTTTGGTGGTTTAAGGGAATATACTGAGACTGATTTGTCTTGCACATAGTATTTTGGTGGGTGTTCAGCAAGATGCATGCCTTTATTTGAATTCTGATGCCCTTACTCTTGAGCTTGGCTATTACAACCAACCGAGTGATCTCTTGGCTAGCGTAATAGAAAACTTGTTTCATATGAAGCTCTCGTAAGAGTCCACGTATTAAGTAGCTATTTGATCTATTTCTTGTTTCCCTTTAACAAAACAATTGTATAAACCTTCATTTTTCAAATTGTTTAATTAGTTTTTGTGTCCTTGGTCGTTGGCAAGACCAGTGGTGGTTCTTTCATATTTAGTTGCTTGGATTGTCTCAATGCAGTTCTGTTGGATTGATCCGTAGGGAAATGGTCTATGGCTGGTTGCCTATCGTTGCATTTTATGTTTTTTGAGCTGGTCTTTTTGCTATTTGGGATTTGTATAATGCTCTCATACTATAGATAAACAATTCACTATTTGAGTTGTTGACTCTTGCGGTATTGGGGTTTCAATTGGCAAGTTACAGAGACTGGTCAGGATCATCCAGATAGTAATGTTGACTACTTTTCTTTCATCAAGAATTTTAGGCATCGTGGGGCTGCGGAAGGCGATGGCAGTATTATTATCGTTGTCGTTCAATGAAATATGGTCTTGGTTGTTTGGTGCATGAATGAATTATTAAAAAAAAAAAATGGAGGCTGTTCGTGAGCATTGATGAATTTAACTCGTTTGTTACATGGGAGAGTATGCGGATTCAATTTGCTTGTCGAGTGCCACAATCTCTAATCAGGCTATTTGGGCCATTTTAGAGGAGTCAAACGGGCTTTGTTAACCCATGGTGGGGCCGAGCCTAGAACATTAAGGGCTTTATCGGCCATGGCCCATTTGTATATGAGCCTGGTAATGCCTGGCCAACAACTCTACATGAGGCGGGCTGAAAGAATCGAACTCATGCTCTCAGGAAACTAGATTGTCCACGCCACTATGCTCATAAAGCAAACAATGATTCTTGAACGACATCAGATTAATTATTTAGTTTGAGGTTCGTGAAAACTTCCATTTAGGCTTCTTACAATTATTCAAATATAAATAATTGATTATTGTAACTACTAGACTAAAGTTTTCTATTTTCACTAAATATTTGGATTATTTTTTTAAAAAAATTGAAATATATTCATATGAAGTGATTTTTCCTTTTAGATCGTGGAGCCTCTAATCATAAACTGCAAGCCCAAGATAGTTGGTTTCATAAACTTTGTCATCAACATAAATTCAACATGGTTTTTATTTTTTGGGCTCATGAAATTATAAGACATTGTTCTAGACTTCTAGTTAACCACTTGATTCCATGCTAGCACCAGGTTTTAATGTGCATATATGCCTAAGATAGATTACAAGAGCAAGAGCAAAAAGGTGGTGACAGAAAGTTTGTTATCGGATGATTTCAATTGCTTGAAAAAATACTATGCATGTGGGCCTTGGAGTGCACCAAGCCAACTCTGTTTTTATTGGTTTTAAAAACAACCAATAAAATGTTGAGGAGAAGCACCGGAAACGGGAGGAAAAAAAGAGTGGGAAGGGAGCATTTTATGGAATTATTATATAAAATAATAGGGAGCTTTTTTTATAGAATTAAATATTTTTACCCGTCTTTATATATATATATATATATATATATATATATATATATATATATATATATATATAATGGATTATTGTAAAAGGTACTGAAAGTCAGAGCCTCTTCACGTGATGTAGGGGAGACCGTTTGAAATTCATGGGCTCCATAACTACGAAGGTAATGACGCACATGAACAACTTAGGCACCAAGTAACAGAAATTAAAAAAGTTATTAATTATTATGTTATATTAGTTTTTTCTTTCTTTCATATTTTCTTTTTTAATTGTATTTAGATAATTTTTTTATAAAATAAATTTTTGTCAAAGCATTATTTTCTTGTATAGCTGAGACAAATTAAATTACATCTTTAATTCTGTGTTGCTCTGTCCTTCAACTTTTTTATCAAGGAAGTTTTTCTAGGAAGCCACAAATTTCATACAGATAGGTGGCTTTACTTTGGCCAAAGCAAGAATAGCAGCAGGAAGAGTCCACAGACTTTCACCACAGATTAATCCTGCGGCAACAGCAGGAATCAACAACTTAGCCTTGTTGGTGTTTCGTTTATGCCATACGAAAACAATCAAACTTCCAACACACATATCAATCGTAAAGGAAGCTCCAATGACAAACGGCACGGCCATGACCAAAGGAAGAGGCATCCATTGTCCGATCTTCTGCGGAAAAAAATGTCTTGCCAGGTTAATTGCTATCGCAAAAGCAAAGAAGCCACAGCAGAACTGCAAGCAATGTTGGGGCAGAGCTGAGAAACCCTCAACACCTAGAATTGCCATGTTCCTGGAAATTAAGGCATAAGGAGCCTTGTAGTCTCCGTATGGATTTCCAACATCAAATGCCTTGTAGAAAAGGAAGAAGCTGCCAGGAGCCATCACACAGCCGATTGCGGTGCCAATAACCTGGTTCAAAAACATTGCTCTTGGGGAGGTGAAAGTCAAATGTGCTGTTTTGAAATCCTGAATCAGGATGCAAGCAACTGAAATAACAGATTTGACGAGGCCGGATCCGGCAAGTGCTGTCACCACTCCATTTTCCCTCCCGGATGTTGCAGCTAGCACAAAGAGGGCAACTTTCCCATAATTATGCGCCATGTTTATATCAGTAAGACCGGCTCCATAAGCATTGCAAAATGCTAAAGATGGAGCAACCGCATAAGCAGCAGCAACATAGTACCACTTAATCTGAGGGAACATGATTGGCATCCCAATTGTGGAGATAACAGAGAAGACTATATATCCAACAATGCCTAGCCACAAAGGTATTGTCTCTCTGAGGAAGAATTCGTCTTGTTTTTGTTCATCAAGGAGCTTCTTCCGAAAATGGACTTCTGGGAAAGAAGGACAGTTAAGTAGTAGTGCAACTGACGCCATAATATTTTTTAGCAGCATTTCGGTACAAACAGGAAAAAACTGCAAAAGATAATCAAAGGATGTCCAATTTACCTGGACTGTGATTCTTGTTCTTTAATCTGCCATGAACATTGATGATTGCAATGCCCATTGTCTTAACGAAAAGGTAGAGCCCATCTCCAAGGATCAGAGAAACTGCTAAGAAAACCTGCCAAATTATAGCAAGAAATTAGAATCTTATAATGAAGTTTAGAAAGCTAGGAAATCTTGCATATAGCTAGTGTTCTGACCTTGTAACCATTTAAGCTCCTCATGCTGGATTCATCTAAGGAAGCTGGAAACCATTCTCCCTTAAGTTGAAGCAGAAGTGGCCACATAATCCCATATGAGAGCACAGCTCCAAGAAGCAAAGACAAGTTCACTTGATGGGAAACAATCATTCCAGTTCCAACCAAAGTTGTGCTAAAATCAAAGAAAAATCTACAAAACCCAATAACCAAAAAGACCAGTAACATGTTTGCTGATGTAAATAAAGCAGACAAATAAAGATTTATATAGAGAGGAAATACAAGCACATACGTGTGCTTCCAAGCTTTCAATCCAAAAGTAGGGAAATTTGAGAATCCACAATATCCACTTTTCCCCGTAAAAAACCACTGGAAAAATGCCCATATGAAGCTGATTGAAAAGTACTTCGCGAACCCATGAACTTGTTTCCTGCAATAAAAACTCAATCATGAGTTCATGTTTTTTCAGAAGAAAATTGTTTTTTGTTAGCATAATTTAGACTTCATGTATATACCTTGCCATCTTATCTCCTCGGTTATGGAAACCATTGATGAGAACTGCGGTTGCCATGCCACTTGGATAAGTTAACTTCATGTCTACTATCAGGATCTGTAAAACAAAAGGCCAAAGCACACCTTTAGGAATTTTGCAGGTGACATGATGATAATAATGCTCATGATGATTCCAAAAAGAAATATACAGATTCCTGACATCATAATTCTTTAGAGAAGTATTTTCTGATAATTTAAGATGGAAAGTTTATGAATACTCCTATTCATACCTTCCTAAGTGGAACTAACACAAAAAGACCAACAAAGCAAACTAGGAAAAGGTATCCAGTCATCCAACCAAATCCAGGTTCCTTTAAACCAGCAGAAGAATTTCCTTCAGTTTTCACCCCACCTGACAACTCATATGTGTTCCGGTCTAATCCCAATAGATAAGAAGAAAATCCACCTGTTGCTCAAAAGGTGGAAAGAAATATTAGAATGAGCTCAAACTAGCCAAGAGTAACAGGAAAATTATTAAAGTATCAAAGCCTGATCAAACCTCCAATGGCAATACTATAACATGCAACTGCACAAGTTTGTATCATTGTATTCTCTTGCCGAGTAAACGGTTTGACCACAAATCCTGCCTTTTGAAGAACTTTTGTCCAGGTTTGAACAAAAACAAAAGCGAGAAGTGCAGCAGAGGCATTGAAATTTGGAATCATCCCAGTTGTGAGGTTTAGCTTCATAGCTATAATGCTGTAGATGGCTCCAATAAGAATGCTCACTATGATTCCTCTTACGGTGACCTGCTTTGTCCATGGTTGATGTCTCGTTAAACCTTCTGATTCATCTAGTGGCTCTGATTCCATCTCTTCCCTCTCAATCTCGTGCTTTTCTACTGCTTCAATCTTCATGGCTGTGAATTAGTAATACTCGTAAAATTAAAATAACTCAGATCATTAGTGAGTACCAAATTAAGTGCAAGACTAGGATAGGAGAAATATGCATGCATATATAACCTTACCTTTGTTCTTTTTCAGCACCTATTTTCTCCTAGTAGCTAACAAGTCTTCTTTCCTTACTTAAACTTGTTGTCCTCTTGGTGCGTATACTAATCAAAATGCCTGTAGTGATTGGGATAAATTCATTACCTTTTTTATAGACATCACTAAAAATCCATCAAACAGCATGAGCATGTCATTGTCCCTTTTTATGTAGTGGGAAGAACTTAGAATTCTTGGCATAAATTGCTTTCATATATGCAAGCACCGAGAAAGGGCCCTGCAGTACTGTTAGTATCTGTTATAGATAAGACCTTCAAGAACTTAATATTCTTACGTAGAGGCATGCATTGGACTGATAATTGACCTTACCATTGAGATTCTTCTTTTCTGCAAGCGGGTTAAAACGCAACACAACCATGGAAAACATAGAAATGGTGCTGATCATACATAGTGTGCGAATCATGCAATAGACTATAAATTGATAAATGAAGAAGAAAGCATTAATGATTATATATATGTTTTGTTGTTGTTGTTGATGTTGTTATAAGCCATTGAAATTCAATGAAGTACCGATAGGGCACAAGTCAGTACATGCATAATGGATTGGTGTCACGCTAGCTACTTCTCTATACTTCGTGAGCTAGAAACTTACTTAAATAAAAGCGAAGAAATGGATCAGGAGTCAAGAGTTTGTCTCCTTTGCCATATCCAAAAATTACACTGCTATTCTATTTTGAATACTCACTAGATTCATATAAAGTCTAGTTATCTTGTGAGCAAGCAATGATTCAATATGTTATAAATTTGGATCATGGTAAGTTTAGACCACGCAATGATCGTTTGGTGTGTACGATTTTTATGTTCTAGCTAACTCTTATATATTTTAAATTAGATCATATTGTAGAGTACATTTTAATGAATATATCTCTAAATTTTCTTGTGAGGTTCGAAATATTATTAAAAAAAAGAGGTTAAATCATGAACTATGAGTTGTTTCTTGATATTAAAACAACCGGAGATCATGTTTGATATGGGAACATGCTATCCTTGATGTTTTCCTTTAAAATTTGATTTCAATTCTTTGTGAATCCATGACTCTTGTGTGTAGCTTGAATTTATGGGCCAATAATATATTTAGCCTATTAGGTTTTTTTTTTTTTTTTTATAGTTATGAGGTATTTAAATCTCTTTATGTCTCTGTTTAAAAAAAAAAAAAAAGTCAAATAGAGATTTTGTATTGAGCCTTCAAGGTTCTTGTATTCTCTTGCTATCAAGCTAATAAAACCTATAGCTCACCCATAGAGTAGGCAATTTTATCGAACCACATAAATCCTGTGTATTGATAATTTGTTTAGCTTTATCTTTTAATTATTATCTATCTTTACTTATCTTGTTTTTACTATTTGTCATAACAAACTAGTATCAAAGTGCAAGTTACGCATCTTTGAGTTTTCTATTCATAATGGCAGCTCTAAAATTTGATGTAACACCTTTCGATGGTCAAAATAATTTTGGCCTATAGAGGATAAAGATGAAAGCTTTGTTGCGGTGTAAAGGTTCCGTCAAGGCAATTGAGAGTACATACCCGGATGACATGACTACTCGTCGAAATTGAGGAGATGGATGAGAAGGCTCATAGTGCTCTATAATTACCATTATTAGACAAGGTACTGCGAGAAGTCGTAGATGAAGAGACGACGACAGGACCGTGAAAGAAGTTGAAAAGCCTCTACATGAAAAAATTTCTTACAATAAGATTGTATTTAAAGCAACTTATTTATATACTAAAGATGCGAAAAGATACGTCTATTCAAGAAGACCTTAATGAATTCAATAAGATTGTTATATATATGAAAAATCTTGATATTAAACTTGATGAGAAATATGAAGCTCTTATTGTATTGTGTTCATTACTCGCTTCGTAGGAGAATTTGTTAATTCAATGTTGTATGGTAGAGTGTCCATAACTTTAGAGGATGTTAAGGCCTCTTTGAGTTCCGTTGAGCTAAGACATAAGCTAAATGGTAAAGACGTTAATAGTCGGTTTGATAGTTTGCTAGTAAGAGGAAGATAGAAGGATAGAGAGGGTTATAAAGAAATACCCAAATTCATTTCTAAATCACCATCGAATAAGAAAAACAATGTTGAGTGCTACTACTCGTCATAAGAAAAGACATTACATATCATATTGTCCTCGCTTCGAAGAAGAATGAAAAACAACATGGTCAAAGTTTTGAGTCTACTAATGTGACAAAGGCTACCGATGTTGATGTCATTGAAAGTGTTTTTACTGTATGTCCTCTAGATGGTCATTCGATTGAGAGTGGATTTTGGATACACATTCTTGTTATCATATGTGTCCAAATAAAGAGTGGTTTACCACTTATGAACTTATAAGTGGTGGCTCTATTCGATAGGCAACAATTCGAGCTTATGAGATGAATATTATTGGTATAATTCATATCAAGTGTCATGATTCGGTTGTGAGGACTTTGATGGAAATAAGATATATGCCATATTTAAAGAAGAATATAATTTCTTTAAGCTATCCGGATTCTAAAGGTTATGGCTATTTTGGTAAAAGTGGAGTTCTTAGGGTTTCTAAGGGTTTTTTAGTTGTGATGAAAGCAATTCAGATTAATCCTTTCTATATGTTATAAAGTAGTATAGTAAGAGGCTCCGGAAGAGTGATTACTTCCTACTCTAAAAGGAAAGGACTCGGTTGTGGCATGTACATGTGGGCCACTTGAGCGAGAGAGATATGACTACTCTAAGTAAACGTGGTTTGCTTTATGGTGATCAAATGACATCTTTTGATTTCTATAAGCATGTGTCTTAAAAAAAGCAAACTAGAGTGTAGTTCTCTCGTTGGCACTAATTCTACAAAGGGCACACTTGCTTACATTCATTAAGATTTGTGGAGGCCAACTCGCATTCCATCCAAAGGTGGTGCACATTATTTTCTAATGTTTATTGATGATTACTCTCAAAAAGTTTGGGATTATTTTCTCAAACATAAGAGTGACGTTTTCGAACCTTCAAGCAATAGAAAGTTTTAGTAGAGAATCAAACAAATAAGAAGGTTAAATGTCTTCGAACAAATAATGACTTGGAATGAGTTTTATACAAACTTTGGAATTGTTCGACATCGTACGGATAGACACATTTCTTAGCGAAATGGGGTGGCGAGAGCGCATGAATAAGACTTTGGTAAAGAGAGCTAGAAAAAATATTT